TTTGTGTCCGGTTTTGGGGCGGTTCTGGGGTTAGTGTTTTGTGTAAACCGGTTTTTTGTGTCCTGTTTTTGTGCCCGGTTCTGGGGTTGTGTTTTGTGCCGGGTTTTTGTGTGTGTCCGGTTGTGTGCCCGGTTCCGTGCCGGTTACCTCGTACATATGAAGATGTCGAAGGCCGCGCGTGGCCCACGGGCAGGGGGAAGCGTGTGTGAGGAAGAGGGTGAGGAACCAGGACGAGGCGTACATGGAGGTGAGGAAGCTCTGCGAGCGGAAGTGCACGTTCAGCTCCGGCAGCTGCTCCTGCGGCGGCACCGACAGCAATCAGGGACCGGGGGTTTGGGGGCTGTCTGGGGGGCCAGGGGGGGCTTTGGAGGGGCCCAGGAGTTCTTGGGGTCCCTTGGGGGTCTCAGGGATGGTCCCTGAGGTCTCTCATGGAACCCTGGGGGTCTCAGGGATGGTCCCTTGGGGGTCTCAGGGGTGGTCCCTGAGGTCTCTCATGGAACCCTGGGGTCTCAGGGATGGTCCCTTTGGGGTCTCAGGGATGGTCCCTTTGGGGATCTCAGGGATGGTCCCTTGGGGGTCTCAGGGATGGTCCCTTGGGGTTTCAGGGATGGTCCTGGGGTGTCCCTGAACTCTTTCAGGGATGGTCCCTTTGGGGTCTCAGGGATGGTCCCTTGGGGGTCTCAGGGATGTCCCTTTGGGGTCTCAGGGATGGTCCCTTGGGGGTCTCAGGGATGGTCCCTTGGGGGTCTCAGGGATGGTCCCTTTGGAGAGGTCTCTGGGAGGGGCCTGAGGGGTCTCAGGGAAGGTCATTTGTGATGGGGGCGGTTGTGGGTGGTCCCCAGGGCCTGGGTGGTCTACAGGATCTCAGGGATGGTCCTGGGGTGTCCCTGAACTGTTTCAGGGATGGTCCCTTGGGGGTCTCAGGGATGGTCCCTTGGGGGTCTCAGGGATGGTCCCTGAGGTCTCCTCATGGAGACCCTGGGGTCTCGAAGGATGGTCTGGGGTGTCCCTGAGACTGTTTCAGGGATGGTCCCTTGGGGTCTCAGGGATGGTCCCTGAGGGTCTCTCATGGAGACCCTGGGGTCTCAGGGATGGTCCTTTGGGGTCTCAGGGATGGTCCCTTGGGGGTCTCAGGGATGGTCCCTTGGGGGTCTCAGGGATGGTCCCTTGGGGGTCTCAGGGATGGTCCCTTTAGAGTCTCAGGGATGTCCCTTTAGGGTCTCAGGGATGGTCCCTTTAGGGTCTCAGGGATGTCCCTTTAGGGTCTCAGGGATGGTCCCTTGGGGGTCTCAGGGATGGTCCCTTGGGGGTCTCGGGATGGTCCTTTTTGGGGTCTCAGGGATGGTCCCTTGGGGGTCTCAGGGATGTCCCTTGGGGGTCTCAGGGATGGTCCTGGGGTGTCCCTGAACTGTTTCAGGGATGGTCCCTTGGGGGTCTCAGGGATGGTCCCTTGGGGTCTCAGGGATGGTCTAGGGTGTCCCTGAACTGTTTCAGGGATGGTCCTTGGGGTCTCAGGGATGGTCCTTGGGGTCTCAGGGATGGTCCTTTGGGGTCTCAGGGATGGTCCTTTGGGGTCTCAGGGATGGTCCTTGGGGTCTCAGGGATGGTCCCTTGGGGAGTCTCAGGGATGGCCCTTGGGGGTCTCAGGGATGGTCCCTGAGGTCTCTCATGGAACCCTGGGGGTCTTAGGGATGGTCCCTTGGGGGTCTCGGGGATTGTCCCTTGGGGGTTTCAGGGATGGTCCTGGGTGTCCTTGAACTGTTTCAGAGGGATGGTCCTTTAGGGAGTCTCAAGGATGGTCACTTTGGGGTCTCTCCTTGGGATGGTCCCTTGGGGTCTCAGGGATGGTCCCTTGGGGGTTTCAGGGATGGTCCTGGGGTGTCCCTGAACTGTTTCAGGGATGGTCCCTTTGGGGTCTCAGGGATGGTCCCTTGGGGGTTTCATGGATCATACCCAGGCTATGGGTGGCCCCTGGAGCACCCCATGGAGCCCTGGGGGTCTCGTGGATGGTCCCTTTGGGGGGGTCTCAGGGAATCCCCCCAGGCATCTCCCGGCCATCCTTGGGGGTCTCACCTCTGTCCCCCCCTGGAGGTTCCTCAGATCATCTCCGAGACCCCCCAGGCCCCACCCGGAGCGTCCCACGGCCCTGCCCCTCTCCCCACCCCTCTCCCTGCCCCAGCCCCCCTCCCCCAGGGCTGGGGGTGCCCACCTGGAGCAGGAACTCGAACTGGTAGATGCAGAGCCCCAGCTGGGCCATGCTGGGCTTGAAGAGCTCGCGCAGCCGGTACTCCTGCATGAGGCGCACGAAGACGCAGAACGCCTCCTCCTCGGGCATCTGCGGGGCCACACGTCCCTGCCACCTCCCCACGGACACCACGGCCCCTGGGGGGCTCTGGGAGCTGCCCACGGGGGGGCTGAACCCAGCAGGGCCGAGGGGGAACCCCCCCCCAAAGAGGGTTCATGGGGGAGGAGGTTCCCAGTTCCCCTCGGGTGGTGGGATGGGATCAGGACATTCCAGGGGGGTTTAAACCCATCAGGACTAAGTGGGATCCTCAAAGGGCTCCATTTGGAATGAGGAGGATGAGGGAGAACATTCCCAGTTCCCATTGGGTGGTGGGATGGGATTGGGAGATTCCAGGGGCATTTAAACCCACCAGGACTGAGTGGGATCCCCAAGGGGCTCCATTTGGGATGTGGGAACATTCCCAGGGGCCGTTGGGTGGTGGGATGGGATCAGGACATTCCAGGGGGGTTTAAACCCATCAGGACTAAGTGGGATCCTGAAAGGGCTCCATTTGGAATGAGGAGGATGAGGGAGGAGGTTCCCAGTTCCTCTTGGGTAGTAGGATGGGATCAGGACATTCCAGGGGGGTTTAAACCCACCAGGACTGAGTGGGATCCCCAAATCAGCTCCATCTGGGAGGGGGAGGATGAGGGAGGAGGTTCCCAGTTCCCCTCAGGTGGTGGGATGGGATTGGGAGTCATCCAGAGGGGGTTATAAACCCATCAGGACTAAGTGGGAACCCCCAAATCAGCTCCAATTGGGATGAGGAGGATGAGGGAGGAGGTTCCCAGTTCCCTTCAGGTGGTGGGATGGGATCAGGAGATTCCAGGGGGGTTTAAATCCACCAGGACCAAGTGGAATTCCCAAGGGGATCATCTGGGATGAGGAGGATGAGGGAGGAGGTTCCCAGTTCCCCTCGGGTGGTGGGATGGGATTGGGAGTCATCCAGAGGGGGTTATAAACCCACCAGGACTGAGTGGGAACCCCCAAACCAGCCCCATTTGGGATGAGGAGGATGAGGGAGGAGGTTCCCAGTTCCCCTTGGGTAGTAGGATGGGATCAGGACATTCCAGGGGGGTTTAAACCCATCAGGACTGAGTGGGAACCCCCAAATCAGCCCCATTTGGGATGAGGAGGATGAGGGAGGAGGTTCCCAGTTCCCTTCAGGTGGTGGGATGGGATCAGGAGATTCCAGGGGGGTTTAAACCCACCAGGACTGAGTGGGATCCCCCAGATCAGCTCCATCTGGGATGGGGAGGATGAGGGAACATTCCCAGTGCCAGCCCCGCTCCCAGGTGTCCCCACAGCTGCCCAGACCTGCATGAGCAGCAGTCCCACGATGAAGGCGCTGCCCTGGCAGTATCCCACCTCCCGATCCACCAGGGAATAGGCCTGGAAAAGGGACACAATCCCAGGCACAGCCGTGCCAGGAGCAGGGGATCCACCCCTGCTCCGGAGGGGACCGTGGGAAAAGGGATTCCTTTGGGTCCCGGGGTCAGTACGTCGCTTAAAAGTTGGATTTAGAGCTCAAAAAAACCCTCAATTTTTGGTTTCTTAACTCAAAATGAACCTTGGGGGGAGAAACGAGGAGGGGAAGGAGGGGGAGGGAAAGGTGAGAACTGGAGGTTCTGCAAGTTTGGGGGGAGGCAAATCCCTCCAAAATGGGGTTGGGGGGGAGGCAAATCCCTCCAAAACGGGGTTGGGGTGGAAACAAATCCCTCCAAAATGGGGTTGGGGGGAGGCAAATCCTTCCAAAATGGGGTTGGGGGGGAGGCAAATCCCTCCAAAATGGGGTTGGGGTGGAAACAAACCCTTCAAATTGAGTTTGGGGTGGAGGCAAATCCCTCCAAAATGGGGTTGGGGGGGAACCAAATCCCTCCAAAATGACTCTGAGGTGGAACCAAACCCCTGAAAATTCGGGATGGAATCAAATCCCCAAAACTGAGTTTGGGATGGAACCAAACCCCTCAAAACTGAGTCTGGGGTGGAACCAAACCCTTCTAATTGAGTTTGGGATGGAACCAAACCCCTCAAAACTGAGTCTGGGGTGGAAACAAACCCCTCAAATTGAGTTTGGGGTGGAATCAAATCCCTCCAAACTGAGTCTGGGGTGGACTCAAATCCCTCCAAAACTTAGGCTGAAACCAAACCCCTTGAAATTTTTGGATCTAAATCAAACTCCTCAAAATTTGTGGTAAAAACCAAATCCCTCCAAAAATGAGTTTGGGCTGAACCAAAATCCCTCAAAAATGAACTTGGGGTGGAACCAAACCCCTCAAAACTGACTTTGGGATGGAACCAAACCCCTCAGCATTTTTGGATCTAAACCAAACCCCTCATCAATGAGTTTGGAACCAAATCCCTCAGCATTTTTGGATCTAAACCAAACCCCTCATCAATGAGTTTGGGGTGGAACCAAATCCCTCCAAACTGAGGTTGGGATGGAACCAAATCCCTCCAACTGACTTTGGGGTGGAAGCAGACCCTCAAATTTTTGGGGTGGGAGCAAACCCCTCAATTTTGGGGTGGAAGCCAGACTCAATTTTGAGGTGGAAGCAAACCCTTCAATTTTGGGGTTGGAACCAAACCCCTGAGTTTTGGAGTGGAACCAAACCCTCAAATTTTGGGGTGGAACCAAACCCCTCAGTTTTTTGAGTGGAAGCAAACCCCTCAGTTTGGGGTTGGAACCAAACCCCTCAGGTTTGGGGTTGGAACCAAACCCCTCAGTTTTGGGGGTGGAACCAAACCCCTCAGTTTTGGGGTGGAACCAAACCCCTCAGTTTTGGGGTGGAAGCAAACCCCTCAGTTTTGAGGGTGGAACCAAACCCCTCAGTTTTGGAGTTGGAACCAAACCCCTCAATTTTGGGGTTGGAACCAAACCCCTCAGTTTTGGGGTGGAAGCAAACCCCTCAGTTTTGAGGTTGGAACCAAACCCCTCAGCTTTGGGGAGGAACCAAACCCCTCAGTTCTGGGGTGGCACCAAACCCCTCAGCTTTGGGGTGGCACCAAACCCCTCAGTTCTGGGGTTGGAACCAAACCCCTCAGTTTTGGGGGTGGAACCAAACCCCTCTAGTTTGGGTTGGAACCAAACCCCTCAGTTTTGGGGGTGGAACCAAACCCCTCTAGTTTGGGTTGGAACCAAACCCCTCAGTTTTGGGGGTGGAATCAAACCCCTCAGTTTCGGGGTTGGAACCAAAGCCCTCAGCTTTGGGGTGGCACCAAACCCCTCAGTTTTGGGGGTGGAATCAAACCCCTCAGTTCTGGGGTTGGAACCAAACCCTTCAGTTTTAGGGTGGAATTACACCCCTCAGCTTTGGGGTGGCACCAAAACCCTCAGTTTTTTGAGTGGAACCAAACCCCTCAGCTTTGGGGTGGAATTACACCCCTCAGCTTTGGGGTGGCACCAAACCCCCCAGTCCCCCGTGGCCTCACCTTCATGACGTTGAAGAGCACCTCCTGGCCCAGGCTGTCCTGGCCCTTGAAGAACTCGTGCTCGGGGTAGGTGCGGGCGATGTCCCTGCGGATGAGCTTCTCGCAGGGCGAGGACATCTTGAGCAGCTCCGAGTACTGCTGCTTGAGGGGCAGCTCCGTGGCGCTGCTCAGCAGCTGCCACACGATGGCTCGGAAGTGGTGCGGGATCCCCTTGCGGATCAGCTCCTGCCACACGGGGGGACACACGGAGAGACACGGGGATGGACGGGACACGGGGATGGATGGGACACGGGGATGGACGGGACACGGGGATGGACGGGACACGGGGATGGACGGGACATGGGGATGGATGGGACACGAGAGATGGCAGGGACACGGAGATAGATGGGACACGGAGATGAGGCAGGACCACGAGATAGGCAGAACACGAGAGATAGATAGAGACACGAGATGGGCGGAGACATGAGATAGGCAGAACACGAGATAGATAGAGACTTACAGAGATAGGCAGAGACTACGAGATAGGCAGAACACAGAGATAGGC